ACTCACTGTGAGCTGTGAATGACTTTGAACTTCTAATCATCCTTAATAAACCTACAGCAAATTCAATTTTAATATTTTAGGTTGTAAAGGTTTTATACTTACTGTTGCATTGAAACTAGCTTCTGTTGTAGTGGGAAAGCAGTGAAAGGCATTGTGGACTATGTTATTCCATTATATTATTTAAATTTTTCTAAGACAGTATTTCTTTGTATATCCTTGGCTGTCCTGGAACTAGTTCTGTAGACCAAACTGGCCTCAAACTTACAGAGATCCACCTGCCTCTACCTCCCAGATGCTGGAGTTAAAGGTATCCACCAGCATTGCCCAGCCTTGTGTAGCATGTCATAACTGTTTAAATAAAACTTTATTTCCAGCTGTAGCCTGAGGTAGTATATTTACTAATCCTTTTACTAGAGCTTTGGCTAATTTAGAACCTTAAAATGATATTAACTTAACTACATAGTGAAATATATGAGACTCACTTCTCCATTTTATTTTCATAAAATTAGCTTTTAGTTCTTTTACCAGGTCTCACTTGGAAGAGTGATGCAGCTGATGACATATAGTATCATCATGATATAAACCACATAGTTTGCATAAGGAAGGAATCTAGAAAGGTAACAGCATGCTTATAGGTATAGCTGACAAATTAACGTTCACAGGTACAACTACTCCACATTTCCTCTTTTAGTTTCCTTATTTAGTTGGCATTATCTTGTTTTTCATTTTATTATTCATCACTTTTCTATAATGTCTTTTTTTCAACATCATTGGTTTCACCTGTATCCCTTGAACAGTGACTAAATCACTCTGATTATAGCAAAATTACTACAGAGAGTTACTGTTTAGCCTTTAAAATTAGAGTCAATAATATATGTAGCCAATGGATCCTATTTTCTCTATTGTGGATTATTTCTAAATTTATTCATTTTTTCTGGCTCTAAAGGTTAAACTTAAAGAGAAAGGAAGAGTCTAAAATCTAGAATGTGTTACATAATATTAACTGTACCTTTCTTATTTTTTTTCAAACTGTACTTAGTGTTTGTATTTCCTGAGACACCTAAATCCATTGGGAAATAAAGCATCATGAGTAAGTGGAAAAACATATAAACGAATGACTAATAAATGAAGTGTTATGAATGGCCACAAACAGACAAAAATCATTCAATTATGTCAATCTTTATTACCAAATGGTTAATTTTGAAAAAAGTTAAATCTGAAACATAAATGATACATTAAAAATGAATTCCCCCTTTTCACCTATCAGATTTGCAGAAATACTTAGAAATCAAACTTGAAAAATTTAAATTCCTGATAATGTTTTAAAAAGTTAATTTAAATAGACACATATGATGAAAATTAGCACAGTTTGATCACCATTTTTATTTTTAGATAATTTCTTATAGTTTGTAATTAGAATTGTAAAACTTATATAAGAGTAAATTTTCCTCATATTCAATAATTGTGATTGTAATTATTAACTTCTCATCATAGTTCTATTTATCTTATTTGAATATATTTAGGTATTATGAAAATATGTGTTAAAATTAACTGATAAAAATCACAGTTTGAAAACTTCATTTGTTGATCAGTACTAGTTACATCTGACAAATTGCTGCTTTTATTCATGTCAAATGTTATATGCATATGCTTCTTGTTGTGACCAATAAACCAATTTGTAGCAGGCATATTTAAAAATATTCATGGTGATTTTTGGTCATTATTTGGTTTTTGTATGAATATGGTTGTGTGATTGTTATTTATATAATTTCATAAATCCTAAGTATATATAAATATACAGTATACAATAATATATACTGCATATATTTAATATATATATATACACTTAAATAAATACATTTAACACATATTAAAATACCCTAATTGTTGTATTTTTATATAAAAAGAATATAGAATACTAGTGAGATAGCTAACTATAGACCACTTGAGTCTGGGTTTGCCACATACACACACACACACACACACACACACACACACACACACACTTTAAAGGGCTTGGCATGGTGGCATATGTGTTTAATCACAGCACTCAGGAGGCAGAGGCGGGTGGATCTCCCTGAGTTTGAGGCAACTCTGGTCTACAAACCCATTCCAGGATAGTTAGGGTGGTTACACAGAGAAACCATGTCTTGAAAAACCAACAATGAGAAGCAATAACAATAATATCATCAAAATTGAAGTACAGTCTAATTGTTCCTTTTCTCTTTTCTACACCATGTCCTTCTTTTATTATTTTCTTCTGAGAATAGGTCTCTCATTGTGTAGGCCCCAAATATTTGGAAACTAAGCTGACCAGATGTGAACACCATAGACACTGAAATATTTTTCAAGTTGTAGTTCATCCTATTGTGTTCAGATTACATATAAGCTCCTTACTGAAATATATGTTCTTTAACAATGTCATTTTCCTTTTCAGTTTTCATTTATTCTAACCCTTATTTCTTTTTAAGTTAAGACTGTATTGTAAAGAACTCTCTGATTAAAATACACACATAGTGAGATTAACCTGACCCTAAATCTATAGTTCTCAAGGAACTTTTCTTCCTGAGATCTGTGACTTTGCTTAATATTGTACATTTTAAATTCATCTACTTTCCTGAAAATTTTCTTAAGACCTGAATAGTATTCCATATTATGATTTTTGATGAATTTACCAGATTTTTATTATAGGTTTATCCATTTGGTTGCTTCTATTTCCTTGCTACAGTGAGTAAAGAAGTAGTGGACATGGTCGTATTAATGTCTCTATGATAGAGTATAGCATGATCTAGGTGTATGCCTAGGAGTGAAATCACTGGGACATATGCTAGTTGTATTGTTAATTCTATTCTTAAGGAATCTCAAATTTGGATCATTGAATTGAGGACAGTATTTAAAAAAGAAGCATGAATGGTCAATAACTATTTGAAAATGTGTTAAATATTCATGGCCATCACTAGAATGCAAATAAAAAGCACTTTGAAATGCTACAGTACCTCAGTCAGTATGGTTGTTATAAAGCAACATGACAGGTTGTTGAAAATGAGGAACCCTTGTACACTGTTAATAGGGGTGCAAATTAATATAGCTATTATGAAAATTATCATGGATTTACTAAACTTTCCCAACTACACTTTGTGTTTTTTGTGTGCAGCCACTGTGCAATTCACAGATAGTCAATGAAAAGTCATCCTTGCTTTCTGGATACCTCATGAATGCACATAACTGGTCCCTATGAGGGGGTTCCCTTAAAGTTGATCTGTGGAAAGGTACAGTTCTCTTTTTTTCTGTCATTGTGAGCCTGTAATCATTTGTGTTTCTTTCTTGGCCTTGTCAGGAAGGAAAGCCTCCAAAGCTGAGTGGGTGAGACATTAGCGGCCCTATAGTAGCTCTGAATGAGGAGGCCTGGCATACAGACTCCCCTAATTGCAACATGGATCTTGTAGGTGGGCTATCAGCAAGAGGATCTGCCTCCCCCCCATTTTCAGTGCCTCCTACAATCTGTACCTTATTTGTTCTCCTTTCCCAGATCTGTATTCTTTTGGAAGAACTGAGCCTTAATGTGGCTCATTCCAATGCTTTAGAAGCAGCATGTGCATGAACATGCAGTCCTCATCTACTTTGACATTGGAGGAAGTGCTCCATTAGCACACAGGGTGTAGATGAAGACAACCTAAGTACATCATCACATCACCATTGAGACATCACCAAAGGATGCTTTGCTTGCATGTTGAGCTTAGTCATACAAGGAGCCATTGTATGACAAAAAGTATTAAGAAGTCAAATCCTCAGAAGGCTAAAGTTGTTTGGATACATCATACACAATGATGTTTTTTCATGGAGTTCATGTATTTCAGTTATCTTAAAAGATGGAATGCCTCACTTGGTAGAGAACACACACACACACAGAGAGAGAGAGAGAGAGAGAGAGAGAGAGAGAGAGAGAGAGAGAGAGAGAGAGAGAGAGCTTCCTGGTATTCCATTAGCCTAGACAGAGTGACTAGTATTCTAGTATTGATAGGGAGGTAGAAGTACAACCAGTGCAGCAGATTAACTATTCTCCATCAAACTGGACAGAGAATTGTACACATACTTTGAAACAACACAGCATGGAGGAATACTTCCTATTTGAAAGATATATTTATGGAGGCAAAGTTGAATTGTCGTGAATGTCCAAAACTAGGGCTATGACATATCAGCAAAGGCCAGTAAGTGTGTCCTTGGAAATGCAATCACTGGGCTGACATTGGGAAGGAAAAGAAGAGCAGAAATTAAGTTTAATATTGGTTTGCTTTGGTTAGAAGGATTTGATGCATTGGAAAACTTGGGATTTTTTTCATTGACTACAGCTTAATGGTACAAAGACACTTGTGAAGGCCAGAGAACAAGTAGAGAATAACCCCTTGGCATTCAAACAACTTTCCTCCAGAGGAAGTCTTGGGAAGAATATCACATGGACATGGCAAACTTATAAGAGGGAATGGGGAAAGTATGTGAATGAAGTAAAGGAATAGGTGTTACCTGGTATTCCCAACCATATGGGAACATTGCAATACCGACCAGGGTGGATCTTTTCCACTGTAGAGATTGTGTGTGTTTTATCTTGATATCTCAAGGATTTATTTCTGTGATCTTCTTGCCTTCAGTCCTACAAGAGGCATAACATCATTTCCAGATAGAAAAGATACCAAATTGTTCTTCCTGCAATGTAGTTCAAAGTTCAGATCCTATAGAAGAAAAAGAATAATGGTAACCATTATTTAAATGCCCCAAAATGCTTCACTGTAAGGTCTTGGTGAAACTGCAAGAATTTAACATTCCACAACCTGGACATGTGTTTTCATGTCCCACATTTAGAACTTCTTTCAGTTATCACCTTAGCATGGCAGGGCACCTTCTATTCCTGAATGCAGAAAGCCTTTGAGTTCATCATACTTCCAAATTTTTGCAATTTTCACAGGCTACTGGCCACCTTACTGCTAACACCATCAAGCCTGGGTGGACCAAATGGTTATTCTCAATCAACCATTCGTTCTAAGAGCTGAACAAATTAAGTGAAAACTCATTATCACCATTCTAATCAAGAATAAGATACAGTACCTCCACTGTACTCTAGAAGTTAGGCAAACTTTTCCAAGTCAGCAATACTTTCCTTGCTGACCACCAGTTTGGCTAGTCACATTCCAGAGTGTCCTGAGTTTTCAGGGTTTTGTTTTTCAAACCAATGTGTATAGTAAAAAGAGCACATTTTTGGGTACCTGGGAAGCTCCTTATGATCTTGTTCCTTGGCAGGCAATAGTGGAAAATGTTAGGATTGGCAGGAAGTGAGGGAACAGAGTTAAAGTCAGAACCAATAGAGGCACAAACAATTATCTAGCATACATAAGTATATATTTGCTGTATGGATATCTTAACAGACTTGACCAACTTAACAGGTTGGTAGTGACTATAAAGTAGTATGTCAGAGAGACACATTGAAATATAACTCTGAAATTTTGCTTTATTTGGGAGTATTAGCAGTATAATCCATGGTGATGGGCTATATCTGTTTTGGGGATGAGCAGGAACAGTGTGAGTCCCTGAATGTCAAGGCACAGTTTTGAAGCCATGGCCCAAAAGAGAAAGAGACAATGTGTGAAGGAGATAAAAGCTTTAAGAACTGTGCTGTGTGGCATAACATCTTTGGTCCTGTATTTTGAGTGATTGCTTCAAAATGCCAAAAACTCTCCTTTGTCTAGATAGGCAGTTTTTGTTGTGACCAACTGAAAGAATTTCAGTAGACCTGCTTGGAAGGAAAACAAGGAGCAAATGAGTGAAGCATGGAAGGTACCCATATCCCATTTGTTTCCCCAACTTACCCCCTAAATGTGCACCTAGATGCCTGGAATTTTGGATTACACAGTTAGAAATATTGAGATATATATTTTTGTATGATTCAGTTACATAAACCTGTGTAGAAAATCAATGTATAGCTAGCTTGTGATGGTGCATAACTTTAATCCCAGCACTCAGGAAATAGAGGAAGGGATATATCTGGAATTTATGGTCCCATTTATAAATCCCATCTGGAATTTATGGTCCCATTTATAAATCCCATCTGGAATTTATAAATCCCACAGAAATACTATCTGGAAAATTCAAAAAGAAAGAAAAAAGAGAGAGACAGAGAGGAAGGAAAGAGAGAGGAGAGAGAGAGAGTTGATGTATGATGATACAACTTGATCCCAGGAGTTTCCTGGAAATCTTTGACCCACCAAAATGTTTTCTACCAGGAAGATGACAAGGAAAAGGTGTGAGATTCCTGGATATGCAATTTCCAAGGCCATTTACTTTCTGAGGAGTTACATTGTGGCAATGCCTGGCCTCCACATATGTCTTCAACAAACCTTGAAATGTACATGGATAGCCTCATTGAAGCTATCTTATATGTGGACTGCTTAATAGGGACATCTCTCTGTTTTTATCTTTATAGGCCATGTGCAAATTCCTGTCTCATTCTTCTCTGCCTTGTCAACATGGAGAATGTACAACATTTAACTGAGTTGACATATGAAGTCAATGAGAGCTGATGAGTTCAAATATTTGGAATTCAGCATTCCTTCCTCATATTTAAAACTTGAAGGCAACTGTGGATGAGGGGAAGGGCCTCCCCTCTATTTTCCATCATGGACCACAGTACCAGAGGATTTCTCTTGGGTTTGGGTGAACCAGATAAGAGAGATAATGTGTTAAAATGTGATGTTTTGGAGTTGTTTAATCCAACAAGGAATTCTTTGTCTTCAGTTGCTAACTAGTGAATTATGCTCAGTGGCAGGCAGACAGGTATAGAGAAATACAGAAAGAGAAAGATACATTTGAAGAGGCAGAAAAAGAGAAAACTAAGTGGGTCATATTGACTTAGAATGTCTGTGACATATTGCTGCTAGAATGTAAGAGAAATGTAGAACAAATGGCATATTAGAGTACAGTGGCCAAGATGTTGGATGACTCAGCCAGAAATATTGACTAATGTACATGGTTTACAAAAGGACAACAAAAGATTGAAAGAAAGACAAAAAAAAGGTAACAAAATTACTAAAGTGTGTTGGGACACTGTAAAGGTAACAGATTCTACCATACATGAAATAACTACAGGACAGAAATAACTACTTAGTTCATACAAGTCTTCCAGAGTCAGACAATGGCTTGGGAACATTTCCACTAATCCTGCCCTGCTCCAGTAATAGCATGACTCCCCAACAAAAGGCTGGATATTTCCCAAACTCTGCTAGCAAAAACAACCTTGGTGAAAATTTGATAATGTTTTGTGCTTGCTGAAAGTTCCACATGATATTCAGGACTCAAAATCCTGTGAGGCATTGTGATGGCTCCAAGGAGTGGCCCACAGCGAGACTGAAACATAGCACTTGGAAAACGAAGAGCAGATGTCAAATGAATTTGCCCTGCTCAAAGTGGATGGGAGGAATGAGGTGAGACTACTTCCAAGACTTCAAGTGAGTTGCAGTCTTTAAGTGTTGATGATGAGAGAGACAGTCAAATCCAGAGTGCAGAGGAATTTTCATGGATTCAAGGGTTTTCCGGGATGAGGTCTCTTCAACAAGGTAACTTTGCACTACTAAGTGACACAGTGGAGAGAGATTCTGGGAAGACAATTTCAGAGATAGGACTGAGAATTTTTAGGTAGGCTGTTTGGTACTCTAGAGCAGATTGTGATATATACCGAGGGGCCTTTATGGTGGCTAGTACCTGAAACAATGTAAGAAATGGTCTTTAGGTCCAAGGCAGTTTGAAGGTCACGACTGCCTCAGACCTCTGCCAATTTGCAATGGAGTACAGCCAAGTAAGTCTCTGGAACACTAAGAGGCATTTCTGGTCAATGAGAGCCTTGAGTGGGCAGCTTCTATTAAAAGACCTAAGGCTCCTTGAGAAAACCCCTCATGGGAGCTCTTGAGACAGGAAGCACGGATGCAGGGTCCGTGACTCCACACCGGTCTGGGGGACTCTTGAGCAGTACGGTGTGTCCCCTGAAGACAGGTGGTCCGAGACTGGCAGCCAGTCAGAGAAAGAGGCACAGGAACGAATGGTCGAGGACAGAGAAAGGGACAGAAAAAGAGACGGGGCCAAACAGAGACAAAGACAAAGCCAAAGAGACAGAGATTGAGAAAGAATGTCTGGTAGCCCTGCAAGGTCTTCCTTCCCTTCTCTAGAAGGCCTTAGAGGAAACTTTGGAGTGGTGTGACCTAAAGCACCTCAGGTCACTCTGGCAGGGCAGAGTGTGGTAGACCCCAGTAGCCTTGCCACAGAAATATAGATGCCCAACTGGTTTTGAGATGTTGAGGGAGGAGGAGGATTTGGAGGCCCTGGGAGAGGCAGACGATGAGGAGGCAGAAGTATGGTGAACATGGCCGGAGCTGATGCTAGCGAGCCTTGAGGTT